TACGTTGTTGGATCTTTTTGTCAAAATGAAGAAGATGATTAAGCACATAATCTGATATGTTTTCTAGGTTTTAGAGAAACTATGAATTTTTGTATTGCAGGGAAAAGGATTACCATTATGAACTGGTGTTCTAGGAAACAGAAAAAACCTTACCTCGAAATCCCACTCGCCATATAAGTTTGGATCGGTCTTGTTTTCCCAAACATAAGTGTGGGCCTGCAACTTCTCAGAACTATCCTGCAAATTCAAGACAGTTCCTATTTTTATTTATGGTCCACAGATTCTTAGCAAGACATCAAAAGTTGAGTGTTAATCATACCTGCTTGTATACCAAAAAACAGTAAGTGGAAGAGACAGGTGGGGGCCGGTGGGGGCCCTGGCCACATTGAAATTTTAGGGAAAAAAAAATTTAAACGACTTTTTTATTATTATGCTTTGTGTTTGAAAAATTGTTCCGTCGTTAAATTAGGCCTCCACTGGATTCGACCCTTGCCTCCGCCACTGACACAGTAAGGACTCATGCGCACATGTGAATAATAATCCAATGTGTAAAATAGAAAAGAACATTTGACATTTAAGCATGCAATTTTTCAACCATAAATTCCTTTGCAGCTATATTTTTTTATGTCAAGATCCAAAAAAATGGTCCTTCATGTGCATCTAGAACAAAAGCCATACGTAAAAACAAGCCAAACATACAAACCATTAAGAAGACATCGACAGCCCTCCTTTCATACTCAAAATCCTCAAATTCATCCAGAATATGTAGTTCAGGAGGAGTGATGCCTAAGAGTACCTGCAGTTAAATAATAACAAAATTTCAATCAACTTAGCCACATATTCTTGAATAAGAGCCACACCAGATGCAATTCTCAATTCTATATGATAATTTTCAGTTAAATGTAACACTTTTAGGACTCTAATTACCAATGATGATCAAACAGATTATATTATATGTGTCCACAAGTAATTACCACTCACACAAGCACGCAAACAACCACACAACACAAGAGAAGCACACAGGAAACGTGGCAAACGACAATCCTTACACACAAATCTACCCATCTACTGTTGAATTACCTCTTCTCGAAGCTTCAATATCTTTACTGGAATTTAGTCTTTAACATACTGATTCAAGTGCAAGCTGAATCCATTATTAATATAAGATAAATCACGCAAAAGGTTATAATGTAGAACAAACCTTCCCGGTAACTTTGTTATTTTCAACAGGTAATATTGCAGGGTAAACACGTCCTCTGATGCTAAACCTATGGCTACAAACAAAAATAAAAAAATTCAATGAAATGATTAACAAATAACAAAATAGGGGGTAGGGGCTATACAATTCCAATTGTCAACCTCCGCAATTATCTCTGCTAGATTTGTCGAAAAAAAAAACTAAAAATGAAAAAAAGGAATTCTTGATTAATTGAATTGAGAAAGAGGGACCCACTAGTTGGGCAGGGTGGCAGGGGAAGAGTCAGGGATGCGATTCAAGAGGATTTGAACGACGTCGTCAGCTAGGAGGCTGCCGTACACGAAGACGTTATGAATTGCAGAATGAGGATTTGCAGTAGACCCCATTGAACTGATTTGCAACTCCTCTCTAATTGCAACTCCTCTCTAAATGTTAATTTGTGCACAACAATTTCGGTCTCCTGCGCGCAGTTACCAATGATGATCAAACAGATTATGTTATATGTGTCCACAAGTAATTACCACTCACACAAGCACGCAAACAACCACACAAGAGAAGCACACAGGAAATGTGGCAAACGACAATCCTTACACACAAATCTACCCATCTACTGTTGAATTACCTCTTCTCGAAGCTTCAATATCTTTACTCGAATTTAGTCTTTAACATACTGATTCAAGTGCAAGCCGAATCCATTATTAATATAAGATAAATCAAGCAAAAGGTTATAATGTAGAACAAACCTTCCCGGTAACTTTGTTGTTTTCAACAGGTAAAATTGCAGGGTAAACACGCCCTCTGATGCTAAACCTACGGCTACAAACAAAAATAAAAAAATTCAATTAAATGATTAACAAATAACAAAATCGGGGGTAGGGGCTATACAATTCCAATTGTCAACCTCCGCAATTATCTCTGCTAGATTTGTTGGGAAAAAAAACTAAAAATAGAAAAAAGGAAATCTTGATTAATTGAATTGAGAAAGAGGGACGCACTAGTTGGGAAGGGTGGCAGGGGAAGAGTCAGGGATGCGATTCAAGAGGATTTGAACGACGTCGTCAGCTAGGAGACTGCCGTACACGAAGACGTTATGAATTGCAGAATGAGGATTTGCAGTAGACCCCATTGAACTGATTTGCAACTCCTCTCTAAATGTTAATTTGTGCCCACAAATATATAACAAGTGGACCACAACAAATTCGTGAATTCTATGGAATGTGTAGATAATATGTTAGTAGAATTTTGAATTCGTAAATAGAGAATATATTGGATCGATTTAATTTATAATTTATTAGCTCCAAGGAATACATTTCCGTTCTCTCTCGTGCCCTTACCAACGATACGGCAAAAATTTATTATGGAACAAGGAAAAATATTTTCTAGACGAGCGAATAGATTGAAAAACAATAACGGTGGATGGTTATTGCTAAGTAATATGAAATGAGCACGTGGATAAGATTGGTTATGATCAGTATTTTAAAAAGCGCGTTCTTAAAAGGAAAAATGCAAGGAGAAATTGAAAATGGTTTTAACTTTATAAATTTTCTTTGTAGAGGCTACACTCGATAGTCTAAACATTTATAATTTCATTGAACAGCCTTAATCCAATATTTTTCCACAATACAAACTCCCAATGACAAGTGACAACATCAGAATTTTTTTTTTCTTGGATTTTAGAATCTGTTTTCTTCTCTCTTATAAAGAATTTTCTTAAAAGGCCTTCTCATGAGTGTGGAAGTGAAAAAAGATCTCTTTTTGGTTAAAATTGTCTGCATTTGAGCTTAGTAAATGAGGAAATATTTATTGCAATCAGAGATCTTCAGAGTCGCAAACTGACAAGGGAAAGTAGTTCTTTGCTTTCCTCTCAAATAAATTTGTTGACGTCTAGATTTACAATATAATTTTTGGTCAATTCACGTCTTCTTTACTCCACTCAAATTGCCAACAAAAGATTGGTTAAGTCACTCGACTACAGCATGGAATGGATAACAAATGTGGTGCTCTATTCAACTCTGATGATCAAGTTAGTATATTTTAAAGAGGTAGATACTGACTTGTTCTGTCACAGTGCTTTATTTTTAACTTTTGCATCGACTTGCGTGTATTATTGGGTTCTCATTGGTGATAGAATTTTTATGCATTCGACACTCTCAATATGGGCCCCACTTTTCCATTTCTACTTTGATGGGGACATCTGCGCTGACTTCACACTGAAAATTATTATTTTGAAAGTTAATATATGTTTTTGTTGATTAACAATTTTAGAAAAAAGCTATACCCTGTACGTGTAGCACCCCTCACAATTTTAATGTTTTTTGTATCTGCTTTTTTTTTCTTTTTTATGTAATTAAAAACAATATTAAGTGCTTGTCTTTTTTAACATTCAATCGATCATTTGTTGTACTCATGTCTCAAACCTTTTAAATTAGAGCACACATATCTTTTAGCTAATGCAAAATATTTATTTAAAAGTTAAATGTTCACATGACACTCGTGATGTCAGACAAATATTTATCATGTGATGACTCCAACTTACTCTTAAAAATTCATATAGGATAATTATCGGATAACATCAAGATTTATTTATGCAAATTCTTCGTCTTCCTTGTTGGATATGATTATCATTCTTCTTTGATGTTATTTAGTGAAATCCATCTTAAGCATCTCTTGCATGCACATGCACACAACTTGTTAAAGTTATAGTATTGAGATATTCAAGGTGCACGAAAAATGTCATTTTCTTTAAAGCACAATATGCCTTCACGGGCATTGATTATGTAGTGCAAAAGACCGGTCGAGCATGCTGTTTTTCAAGCCTTACAAAAATATCTAAAAGAGTAAATATATTCAACACTACTATTGTGAAGCACCAATCTAGGTGATAGTTGCATGAAATTAAATGATGAATTTATTTAAATGTTCTGATATACGATTCATTTAATTGAACTTATCAAGTATGACAACATAAATTGGTGTTGTAGCACCACTAGTGGTGATGGCATTATCCTATCTAGTGGTGGCAAACCGAGCCGCTCGGCTCATTGAAACTGGGCTCGAGCTCGTCATTTGACGAGCACGAGCTGAGCCGTAGGTTCGCCCGGCTAGCTAAGCAAGGCTCGGCTCGTGGGCTCATAAAAAATCTGAAAAAAAAAGTAAAAAAACAAAAATTTAATTTAAAAATTTACAAAAAGAGCAACAAAAAAAAAAAAAAAAGGAATAACAAAAAAAAAAAAAAAAAGACTCGGCTCTGATCGTGGGCCAAGCCGAGCTCAACCCTTGGGCACAAGCCGAGCATGAGCTCGGCTCATCACTTGCTCGGCTCGGCCCATTGCCACCACTAATCCTATCTAAAAGTTGTCAATCAAACAATTAGAGTTTTTATTATTAATTTTACCTAATTAATTAAAGGGAGGGAAAAAAAAAGATCCAACATAAAAATCTTCGAAAATAAATGTACTCAAACCTCGAATACTTGAGCCGAAGGTGAAAGAAAAGAACAAAGGAAACTGAAGGCAAGTAACACATTAGCAAACATTAAAAGAACTCATAATAAAAACTCAACAATCAATATACTCCAAATCATACTCAATTCAGCCTGATTCATAACTCAAAATTTTGGTTAACTTCTCAAAACCGTAAAGATTTTTCTCAGATTACTATGCCCATCACGAAAATGTTTGAAACCAGTAAAAATAATTACAGGTTGGATTGAAATTATTTAACTGGGAACTCGTTTCGCCTATAAAATAATTTTGTTCAGCTGATAGTTCGATAGATGGCAACATCTGACTTTCATCAATATTCAACTGTCAAAGTCTTCATCCCCACTGCTAAATGATTCGACCACATCGATGTCATCGTTTTCATCACCTTCTGTCAAAATCTCAAGTATTCCACCACCACCAAAGTCAATGCCATCCATTATGAAATCCCCATCTTCCTCATCATCATCGAACTCGCCCACACTGTCATCATCATTGCTGATGTCGTTGGCATCACTATCGCCATCCTCATCAATATCTGGTTCCATGATTGAATCATCATCGCCGTCATCATCTTTGTCTTCTTCACTCTCGGCGTCATCAGGATCAGAATCATCGTCTGTTGGCTTCCGTCGACCAATTTCATACACCCGAGCTGAAGAATACATCTCATCTTTATCATCCATTGCAATAAGGCCAACAAAAGAATCAGTGGGCTCAGTCGCGAAGTCAAGAACACAGCGGTCCACGGGAATTGTGGCAATGTCACAGTAATTGACAGCATCCACAGTGCGAAAAGCAGCAAATAGAGGGTGCTTTACTCGACGAGTGTTAAATGCTGAAGTGACGTCCTCGAGATTTCTCCTGAGGATTGCATATATTACATCGCCACTTGCATTAAATGTTATCACTGTTTGATCCAAGGATGGCACACTTCGTAGAAGCCTAAAGTTTCTGAGATCCCAGACCTCTGAGTTTATAATAACCTGTTAACACAGTTACAAAGGGTAAAATACATACTTAAAAAAAAAAGGAAAAAATGGTACATTTTAAGACCTTTTTTTATTTTGATTTTTTCAAAATCACTTTGCCTTAAAAACTCATTTTCAACCACATGGTCCACATCAATAATTTTGCACGTGAACCCATAACTTTCCCATACTCTTTTAACCACACCTCCAAAAATATCACTTTTCACTAAATCATTTCTCAAAAAATAAAAATCAAAAAAGGGCTAAAACAGAGGAAAATGCGAGTACAGAATAAGAACCACGGGGGCACTTTCTGGTGTCAACAATTAGATATGATATATCATCCGTACCTCGTTTCCAGCAGGATGAAATCCACCACCTCCATAGTCTGTAAATTGATCAAAGCGACGAATTGGGCTCGAACTGCGATGATCCCATAAGACCCCATTCCAAAGTAGCATAGAGTCTGATGGGCTGAAATGAACAAGGGAATATGGATGCCCACGACCGTAAGGGCCGCTAGATGTATCTGTAAGCTTCACATCCAATTGAAAGGTCTGGACGTCATACAACAGAATCTCATACTGGGATGCATCGGACGATAATGCTGCAAATAAGCTACCTGAATGGCTGAACCTTGCTGCTTTACATCCTTCGAATGAATGCCTGGGACCAGCTGAAATGGAAGACGCGTCCCATAAGAGCACATCATTTGCACTTGAAGAGAGAACCAGCTGATTTTCGCCAGAAAAATGTGACTGCAGAAGTGTCAAAGGAGACTGATGACTATCACAACTCTCCACCACACTATTGCTGTTCGAGTCAAAAACTCTCAGTTCCCCCGAGTGGTTGCCAACAGCAATCTGAGAAGAATCTCCAATGAAAGTTATACAAATTAAAAGGTCACCGACATCATCTCGGCAGGTTCGCCATGGTCTGAATCTACTATATACAAATTGACGATCCTTGCATCTTCCATGGATTCCACCATACATACTTCTAAATTCCCGTGTGGTAAGCCGGGCAGTCACATTTGAAGGAACATCATGGCTTCGTCTTGATTCTGGACAAATGTGTGGATGAAAGAGAGAAAGTGGAGGTAAAGTTGTGATGGGAGCTGGGCATTGACGATGCTGGTGTTTCAGATACTGAACGACAAGAGAATCCAAGGTCAACCGCTCTGAGCCAGAAGGTTGTGGATCCTTCAGAAGTCCATGATGAGAGTAAGATTCTTGACCCATCCGAGCACTGGCATACTGGTTTTCATCCGCATCAGCCAGCAATGTACGTGTTAGCAATCGGCCATGATGATCCTTCGGCATAGAACTTGGTTTGCAGAATGCATTTGCATCTAATTGAACACCATTTCTATGGACAGTATTAGGTGTTGGAAAAACAGGAGATCTAAGTGTGTGCTCACCAGTGCTAAGTCGTTTCCCTAGTGATGCAAACCCAGTTTCCTTCAACTCAGTCAATTTACGTTTCATTGGCAGCACAATTGGAGTTCTAATTTGAGCATCCACATCCCCACCAGATTTCAAAGCAGATACTGAAGAAGTTTCTGCTGTGTCACCATGTCCAGCAGATCTTCTTGATGAGGTATTAAACTTACTGTTTGATGGTACGGGCAACTCCTCCAGTTTACCTTGAGTTTTTGAGAATTCTCGCAAACTTGAAAATATCAGTGGTTTCTTCTTCAATGAGGAGGCAGCTGAGTGACATATCAAGCTGGAATCCTCCTCATGAGAAGAAATGTTCGGTTTATCTGACAGGAATCCACGAGGAGCTCTTCCAGATGGCCATTGAATTTGTATTGACGAAGCTTCCTGTACAGAAGCTTGATGTGCTCCCGATGTTGCTAAAGATGGCAAAGGTGTCAACTGAGCCTCTTTCAGAAGTTTAGCTGCACTTTCTGCCAAACCTGATGTGCGTAGGTGCTCATGGATAAGAAGAAGAAGTTCCCTGATATTTGGATGAAAGGAAATATCATTGAAAGCAAACTTTTAAAAAGATGGGGAGGGAAGAAATGATTAAGCTTGAACTCAAATAATATACTCATGAGCATGCAATCACCAAATACCTTGAATCATATGTGATAGGAGTAGCTGCAGCTATAGCAGCTCTTTCAATACGTCTCAAAGTCGGGGTAGTAGCATCACTAGCTGCTAAAGTACTTGCATGTCCAGAATTAGTCACAACCTACAAAATCCTTAAAAGTTACGACATGAATACAATTATACAATCATAAGATGCACAAATATTGGACAAGAGAATGCTATCATACACATATATAGAGTTCCAAATAAACAGTTCATCTGCTTATCGCATCAACTAGAAACCCAATCCAAAAATTTCCTCAAAAACAAACTAGTGCGTAGGCAAGAACTATATATATCACCTAACTAAATGCCTGCACCTGTTGCACATGGATTTACAAATCAGAGCATGTGGCAGTGTATTCAGGTAATCACAACGCATTCCAACTTCCTAATTGAAAATGTAGCTATCGGATGAGGAAGTATATATTTATTACCTATGTGAGAAGAGGCAGTCACACTTTTTGTGCAATTGCTATGAAATTCTGTTCTGCATTCTTTAAAGTTTTGTCACGCTGAAATTCATGTCGTTTAATCTTCTTTTCTTTTTGTACTCATATTTTTTATTGACAAGCAAAATTTTCCTTTCCAACCTATGAAGCAAAGAAAGCGTAACCTATCTTAAGGCACAAAAGGATATGCCACAGTATGGAGTTAATTTTTCTTGGAAAACTCAGTTGTTATCTCATTCACCTTATTAAGAAAGTAGAAAAGTGACTACTTTTAATTGATATGACCATCCACACAAGCCAAAAGGAGACCATTGGCAGCTGAATGAACAAACCGATGAAACTCGCAATCATATTATCAGCAGAGAAAACTCAAACTCCACCTAAAGCTCCTGAGATCAAGTTATGTAAGTGACGACTAAATAGTCAGTAGAGAAAAACGTGGTGGCGAACTCTTGAGATTCCAATCCAGACTTAAGACTGTTTTTCCTATGACTTCCAACAGACTGCTCTTACCATCCCTTTATTTAGCATGAGATGAATAAAAAAGAAACTATCTGCAATCTTGAATATTGCAAAGCATGACGAACTAGCATCAATTATGAATCTTAAACTTGTTGAATTTCAGCAGGAAAATATTTATGCATGAACAGATGGGTCAAAAAAATATAAATGAGTATAGTGCGTGCGATTATTTCTTGAAATAAGATGACACAGACATGGCAAAGATGTTCAAAGCATGTCACCCCATCACACAATCAAACATCATCTTAATTGACCTCACCCCAATTAGCTCAATAGTCACTTGCACAAGCTCTGCCTGCCATCTGTTCTGCTCATTGCCAGCGGTCTGGCTGCCAGAATCTCGAATAAGTTCTGATAGCTTTTTCCCCACCTGAAAAAGAAAGTTGAACCAACAACATGAATAATAACATTTTCACATGTCTTCATTACAGTCTCTAATAGAACGACAAGTACTACAGTTAATGTAATAAACAAATTGTTTTTCCAATTTGGTACTTACCTGAAGCTTCGTTAATATGTGAGCAATTGACTCATCTCTGGCTAAACCAAGAAGAACCTGACATGTGAGAGCACGAAGACAGTCAAGAGCAGCAGGAGATGTAACCATCCGGGGTTGGAGGAGATGAAGAAGAACCTTGATGCCGTTATTTGCACGAACAGCTTCTCTCGCTTGACGATATCCTTGTTCTAGCTGTGCAGCAAGGCCAGCACAACCAGCTCCACCACCCAAGGATATTCTACGATCTCCCACTAATCCAGAAGCTACTGCAGAAGCAGGTGATTGTGAAGTATTACCCACAGAAGATGAGGAAACTATTGAGGAACCACCTCGATCCGTCAAAGCAGGTACTTCATTTCGCTCTCTAGGTTCATTCTGGCCTGGAACGTTAACTGCTCGCTCCGGATTATTCTGCTCTATAGCGGGACCATTTGCACTCTGAGTTGAAGAATTTTGCGGTCCTTGAGTGAAGACACTTGGTTTGTTGCTGATAGATGGTGGGGGGCAAACAAGATTTATCAAAACATGCAGCCCTGGTTCAACAATCTGTGTCATTTTGATGTTAAAGAATTTAGTGAAATTAGTGAAAATGATAAATAAAGGATAAGCCCAAATTAAGGTTGCGCAGGTTACCTCAGGTTCAACATAACCAGCACCATTTGCTGCATCCAAAATTACAGCTATACCAACACGATCATTGCTTAATGTGGCATTAACAATAAGTTTGCGGCTATAAGGTATTAAAGTGACAATACGCAATATACCCAGCGCATATTGAAGCAAATCATGCAAATAACGTTCAACGGGTGGCGCCTGCAGAGCAGACCAAAAGTTATTACAGTACTAGATTGAAGGACTGAAAAATAAAGGATTTAAAAATGCTACACCACACCTGACATAGGTCCAACATGGTAACATGACCATTACAACTTAAGAACTTGTCAACAACAGGCCAACGAGCCCTCACAAATGCAGGACCAAGTTTCCGATCCCTCTGTACTTGACGAAATACTGCATCCATAGCCTCATTACTTATGTCGAGTGGCTTGTAGGCTGCCCGAGCACTTGAAATATTACGAGTTGCACTGCGGATGATTTTATTGGGACGAATTGAATCCACAAGCAAGAGAAGGTGTGCTCTGAAATATTGCCGCAGTGCAACACAAGTATGGTAAGCTATCTGCTTCTCAGAAGAAGTCAATACCTCTGCAGGGGATCGGTCATTTCGAAGAGATCCTGAGTTATTTAATGTCCCAGAAGGCACCCCAGATCTCACTGAGGCAGCAATGCGCAAAAGATCAAGGAGTTTCAGCAAACCATCCTGTGCATCAAATGCATCGACGACTGCTCTGAAGACAAAAGCAGCAGCAAAAAATAATGCAGCATTTTTCCTAGCATGATCCTGAGGACACTCCAGAAGTTGAAGAGCCAACTCCACAAACTGGTGGACAACATTTGAAGGAAGGGCACATACACGCTCCATTATCCCCTGTAAAATTACGCTTTAAGTCAAAACCAGCTTGATGGTAAAACTTACTAGAACAACACAGATTCTACAGATTCTATAAAAATATATAGAATACCTCTAGGAGCATACAAAGAAATAAGGAACAAAATCAAAGCAAATGTAGATGCACTCTCAGAAACAATTGTTAGGACATACAGGGTAAACAACATTACCTGAATTGAACCAATTGTAAATAAGCAGGAAGACAGACCAAAAAATGTTTGTGCGACTCTAGGGACAGAAAGCAACTTTTGCATGCCACCACGATCCACAAACAACGCAGCAAATTTCCGATGAGCAGCCAATGCACAGATTAATTTAAGAATATCGGACAAAAGTAGTGCACGGTTAGAAGCATCTTTATGCTTAAAACTTCGCTGCAATAGTGCAAGACAGACATCCACCCCCTTTTCATGCAACACAGGACCAAGAACCTCAACATACTCCCCTAAAATAACAAGGCACTGTATACAAAGTTTTTCCTTCAGCTTTCCAAGGGATTCCCTATCAAGAATGAAGAATTCGCCAATATCTTCAATAGGTTCTGGTTCAGTTGGTTTTGAATTCCCTGAATCATCATTCATGCTACTTGAGCCCCTATACCAAGTCGTGAGGATCTAGATTGAATTAATAAACAATCATATAGAAATAAAAGAATGCATGCCATATTAGACAATGTCAATATATGATAGGGATGTCTTGAATATAAAACAAATATCAACCTTGATACTGCAACTGCATTAGCAGCATCTATAACCGTTAATGCCACTCTTGAAGCTGCCATCATCGCAGCTTCATCACTGTTTGTTTTCTTAAACTCCTAAATTCACGTAAGATGCATATACTTAGAAAGTAGAAGAGAATATAACCTTACAAAAGCAAGAGAGAAAAATGTGCTTACCTCTAAAGCAGAACTCTTAACCACTTCGGCAGCAGCATCACCGGCTGCTTTTATGGCTTCTGCTGGAGCATAAGCTGCTCTGGCTTCAGCTTCAGCAGCTCTGACAGCTTTCTTGACCACATCAGCAATGTCCTTGGAGCCAACTTTGCAATCTTTGAAGCAATCATCATCATCATCTCTTTCCAGGACAAAAGCATCAGCATTGTTCCTTCCTAAGCCCTTCTTGGCATCTGAAGTCCTTCTCAAATCCTGGCTTCTTGTCAGGCTCCGGTCCTTCCCGCTCCGGCCATGTCCTGATCTACTGCCAGAAACTGGAGAGGCCAATTGTTCATTATCTAATACTCCTTCATTGACCGTGCCCCTTCCTCTTGATCTGGTCAATCCACGATTTAACCTGCTTCTGGAAGAGTCATCTCTCGGGTTTTCATCAAAATCTTCTTCCCTGTGGTATTTGCCACCATGTTTTGTTTTAGCTTCACATAAATCTCTGATATGCCATTTTTCCTCACCACCTGCTTCTGCTTCATAGTCATCAACCTCAACAGCCATTATTCTATCTGGTGGTTCTTCATCAACCCATCGTTCATCTCCAGCTGCTTGCGCTCTGCTCCTGGCATGATCCCAATCAGCACCATCTAACGGTCCATCATCCTGTACTCTAAGGACATCCACGTGAGAACTGTCTGGAACTTGCCGCAACCTACCCCTAACTTCCTCTTTTGATTTAGCACAGATCACAGTTGCCGCACTTCTGTGCTCGATCAATGAATTTGCATCCTTTTGACCTGTGCTTATCTCACCCAAAACGCGTATACGAAGATATCGCATAAGCTTGGCTGGCAATCCAGATGTTAACACATCTTCCACTATTTGACCACCACTAGAATCACCAATACCCAAAAAGAAAAGGTTACAAGAAGCAAGAGAAAGCCTCCACAAAACTAAATCACTTAATAAAGCTCTTGAGGGCGTACCTAGCCAAACATACTGCAAGAAGACCAGTAGAGTACGTGTGTAACATTTCAGAGTCCAAGGTCTTCCTCTTCCTTGATTCATGCTTCCAATTTTGATCATCAACAGATATCCTGGGTGTCTCATCCATCACCCATCCTTTTATATTATCTAAAACATCTTCTTCAAATACATGTGGATACTGATCCAATTACATATATTTAAAGAGATTCAACATGATGAGAAATAAACAAATAACCAAAAATAATAATAATAATTGCTATACCTTCGAAGAGAGTGAACAGTCAAAAAGAAGCCTCATGGCAGCTGCCTGTACTGGCACTGAATATGTAGTTTCAGATAGAAATTTCGAAGATATCAAATCAAAGAATTCATCATTATCCTGTAAAAGAGGGATATTAATATCAACATTCTAATGTTCTAGAGCAAATGATAAAGTCGAATAGATCAAGTAAATATCAATTACCCGGATAACGTCCCCCAGACGCCCAACATTATGAGAAGACCGGCCATTGTTAGTTGATGAGTGACCGGTCTCTTCCATATACCTACACATTCCAAAAGAAACTGTGTTACGTATACATAACAAAATAATTTTGCAAGAGTGACGTGGAAATATAATTACAAGAAGAATCATATCGATCAAGCTTCTATAACCACCTCATCACCTAAAGCTTAAGAGAAGTAGATTTCACCAGTGATTATGACTCCCCTTAAAAACAACTATCCAGAATTTTTAAGTTTAGCAGCCCACATAGTATCTCAACTAGTAGCCCCCCAACCCAATTACCCAACGAAACCAACCCGATTAAAAAATGATGTTGAACTAATCAAATAACAATAATAATTCATAACAGGAACACCATCCAGGATTTTTCATTACATGATTTACTGTGAGAGGCCTAATTTGTACCTGGATTCCTGAGCCTCAAGAATAGTGGAGAGAGCATGGAGGGCATTGGGGTTAGGATTCTCCGGGTTCGAAGTGATCTTTTCAATTAACGACTGCGCCTTGGCTATCAAAATCTGATTTTCACAATCTTCTTCCTCTCCTTGCTCCTGTCGCTCCTCCTCCGCCACCCGTGGTGGCTCTTCATCCACCGCCTCGGAATCCCTAGCCGCATCCATTTCTATTTTACGTAAACGAATTAACCTCAAAACAATGAAAATATAATCATATACCTAGATTAAACCCTTCTATATATTTTGCAATAATTTCTCTGTATTTTGGATTCTTTTAGTCCGAGGAGGGGGGAAATTGAACCTGCATTTTGAGCGTGTTGCTATTTATAGTATTTCGACAGGCTCGAATGGTACAGATTCTGAAGCGTTCTGTACAACATTGAGTGCTCGTTAGCCTCGTTTAGCCCCATTTTTATCACTACTCTATTAAAAGAGTGGATTTGCAAATCACTATTCATTTTCGCACCCTCGTTTTCACATTGGTGTACTGTTCATTAACCGGTTTCACTAATGGCTTTTGCTCTGCCTCACTTCATTCGTGCTCCATACCAAACCAAACCCTAATCCCTTCTCCTTCATTAACCGATTTCACTACGTGCTCCACACCAAACGAAACCCTAATCCCTTCTCCTTACACACACACATGCACCCATGGAGACAAAAGACTTCGACTGCAGTCATAGTGTAGAGGCCGACGGGATGGCGGTGGTTTGATAAAGTAAACCCTTCAATTTTCGGTCTACAATCTTCCCTTTTTTTTCCAGAAATCTGCCGCTGTCTTCTTCGCTGTGGAAAAGATTGAGAAATCGCGTCCAAATAGGAGACCGGCGAACTGAGGTATGTCGATTCCACGTTCCATTATCTCAAGAACCCACCAGAAATTGATCAGATATTATGGTTATTTTTGTATTTCCAGTGTTCATGTTGAGAAATTATGAGTTCTTATTAGCCCTTTCTTGTTTATGCTTTGGAGTCCCTGCATTTTCTGTTGAAAAGTGTATTGTGGTTTATTTCTTCATTTTTGGATTACCTATTTGATGATAACCCTTTGGATGCTATTAAATTGTAATTAATCATTGATTGTTTGAGGTGAAGTTTGAAGGTTTTGTTACTAGAATTTTCCTTGAGAACTCAAATATATAGTTTCATTTTCGCTTCTTTCATTAATGACGAATGAACTTCAGTAGAAGATAATGTAATGCCTGAAGATATTTCACCTTAATATTTTTTCAGGTACCGATTTCTTATTATTTCGGCTTCAAATCATAACTGAGGTATGTCAATTTCATAGTATTTTAGTTTAGGTTTATTTGTTTGTTCTTGTTAGATTCATTTCCTCTTCCAAATTGTAAATAATTTCTTCTGCTGTCGATTTCTCATCGTTTCAGCTTCAAATCTTCTGTTGTCAGTGTGGTAAATTTTTTATTTGCTTATACTTTCTAAGGGATTGGTGTGACTATCTGTTATTAATCAGTGGTATTCTGGGTCTTCTTATTTGAAGTACCTGTGGAATTTGATTTTTTTACCTGCGTGTTATGTGGAGGTATTGTTAGAATTTGTGAAATATTTAATTGAATCAATTGCCATGGATCATGTTGTGGGTGGAAAGTTCAGGCTTGGAGGGAAAATTAGGAGTGGTTGATTCGGGGAACTTTATTTACATACTCATTTTATTTAATTATAGCTTCGTTGCAGTTAAGGTGCTCTCTCCTGTCTTCTACATTTAGATATTTCCTCCAAAGAGACTTCTGAAATACAACAGCGAAGAGACGAGATGGAGGTGGAATCGATGGGCCCAAGGTGGAAGGGAATAAAAAATTGGCAAAGAACCATGTTCCGGGAGAGAGCTAAACGGGTTTTACTGTCTTGGCTGAAGATGTATTGTTCTAACTATAATTACC